TTATGGAGGGCCGGACCCAGGGTCTTGTTGAAGCTCTGTTTGAACCAGGGTTCCCTATACTCCTGTCCAGTGACAGCCCAGAGCAAACAGGGTCTCAGACTTCTGCACTATGTCCACCCATCCCCGCACACCCCGAGACACGGGGCCTCCCCAGAGAACCCACCTCCACCCACCCAGAGCTGGAGAGCTTTCCTGTGGGTGTGGTTAGTGGGGGCCCAGGCCCTCACTGGCCATAGCCCTCCAGTGAGGCTGGTGCCCTCTGGGAGCCCCGAGGGAATGGGAGCTCCTTGGTACCCATAGCTCCGAGCCTTTGATGGTTGTGCCTGGCCTGTGCCCTTCAGCCTCCCTGCCCTGCTAGGGGCCAGCTGCTGCTTTTCCGTGCCAGGAGGCCTCCGTCCCTGGATCCATCTTCCTGCAGGGCTGCTCTGCTTCCTTCACGCACTCGACCGCCTCCTCCACGAGGCCTTCCTGCTGCCGGGTCCGCATCACCCCACTGTAAGGTCACCCAGGCACTCACCTGTTTGCCTGCCATCGGCAGAGGTCTCCGTGGACCACCTGCTGTGTCCAGGGCGCTGTGCAGCCCCAACAAACCAGACAGCACCCTGGGCCTGGGCGGGGTCATGCCCCCAGCATTGTCCACGCCCGGTGGCCCACGGCTCCTGCCCCCACACTGGGAGTCTCTCTCCCCTTGGGATCCAGAGGATTGACAAGCACACTCACAGTCCAGCCTCCTCCTGGGGCCCAGGCAGGTGGTAACACTGGGACAGTGGCCTCCCTTGATGCCTAGTGCAGGGGTTGTCCACGGCGTGGTGTGATGAGTGACAGGCCTCCGCCACCCTCAGCACTCCTGCCCATGTGCCTGGGCGGTCGGGCCCAATTTTGCTCTCAGAACGGGGCCTGGGGTCCCCACTCCATCCTAATACCAACATGTGGTGGTGATGGGGCTCAGGGAGGCTCAATAGCAGGGGACAGGCCAGGGCTCCCGGGGGAGTGAATGAATGAGGGCGTCAGCGGAACGAATGAAAGCGTGAAGGCATGAATGAGGCATGAACAGGTGAGTGAGGAGTGCTCGGTCTCTGAGGGCTCCATGGCAGTCCTCGGGTACAATAACAGGGATCAGTGTTGGAAGCCAGCTCCCTCACGGGGCATGACATCCCCAGCCTGCACTTGGAGCAGGGCCAGGCTAGGGACACTCTCCTCAGGGTGCCCAATGGGAGGCCTGTCAGCAGGGACTGGGCTACCCTGTCGGTGATGGAGACACTCGCTTGTCACACAGGGTGAAGTTGGGGTCCCAGCCAGGCCTGTAGGATCCAGAGAACTGGGCTGGCAGGGCCACCCTCTGCCTGTCTGGGCACAGCTCCCAGAAGCAGCAGCGCTTAGTGGGCCTCCCACTGTACCTAGGCCCGGCCCTGGTGGGCTGTGCAGCCTCTCATGGCCTCGGTTTCCCGGATCCAGGCCCTCCGGAGCTGTGGGCCCCCACAGGCTGCTCCTCTGTTCCCGCAGTGCCAGTAGCTGCCCGCTTGCTGGGGCGGGGGCAGGGGAGCCTCAGAGGGTGGGAACAGGCTGTTGGGTGCATCCTGGGGTGGGTGGCCAGGAAGCATCATGGGTGTGGGTCAGAGGGCCCTGCACCTCGGCCCTCCCTCCCCTCCTCCCGTCACAGGTCTGCGCCCTGCTGTGACGGTGACAGGTGTGGTGCCAGGCAGCTCCTCACCGCCCATCACTGCTGACTCACCTCCCAGGTATCAAGGCCCCTCTGCAGCGGAAGGCTGCCTTTGTGTCGAGGAGCCGACGTGCGTCAGCGACCCGGCCGGGGGAGGGCCCCTCCTGGTAACACTCTGCCAGGTGGGTGGGGGGCGCTGGCCACGGTGAAGCGCCTGTGGCTTTCGGCAGGCGTCCTGCCTGAGCACGTCCCTCCGGGGAAACCAAAGCAAATGTGGGAGGAAGTGGCGAGGGAAAGGCTCCTTGTGCCCCCCAGCACCCCGTGTTTCTGAGCTGCCCCCTGCGGGATCTCAGAGCACCCGCACACATCATTTTACCTCTACATGGTGCAGACCATTAAGCACTGGGTTCCTGGCTGAGAGGGTGGCTGTTGGAACCCACCCAGAGGTGCCACAGACCGGCCTGGCACCCTGCACACCCAGGGGGTAGTTCCAGTCTAGACGCAGGGCACTGTGCGGCGCAGCCACCACCAGCATCTCCGACACTCACATAAGCCAACACTAGTGCCAGACCACGTCAGCACGGAGGCCCAAGTGCGTCCATTTCCCAGACAGGCTGGACACGGTCCTTTCCCGGCTGGTTTGCCCGTGGGTGATTCCTTGCACCCTCCCTGTTCCTGTGCTGGCCTGTGTGTGTGAGGGGGAGCCCCTGGGTGTCCTTGGGGGCAGCCTCACCAGCTGGTCCTTCTACGCCCCAGGGGAGCTGGCCAGCTGGTGGGACAGCTGGGACAGGCAGGACCACTGTGGGTGGGGTGTCCAAGAAGCCCTGAGAGGATGACACGGAGCCAGCCAGAGAGAGGAGGCCTGCTCCCTGAGGAATGGGGATGTGGGTGACTGAAAGGGTGGGGGGCCCTGGGGGCTCGGGTGGCCAGAGCAGCAGGTCAGCAGAGGCCTGGGAAGGTGGGCGCCTGCTCCTCCCTGGGGGTGGGTAACTGGTCCCCCGGCCGCTGTGTGGGAGAGACCACTGGAGGAGGGGACGCACGGGAGGGGAGCAGCCATCACAGCAGAAGGGACGGCAGGCTGAGCGCCAGATGGAGAATGACGGCCACCTGAGTCACAGCCTCCACGGGGCCTGGGGAGGGTGGGGTCTGCCCACCATCCTGAGGCTGGCCGGCCCAGCCACGCTCTGGCTCCAGGGGACGCAGCTCCCACCAGGACCCGCTCCAGGGACACCACCTCCTCCCTCTGCCCCTTGGCGGGCTCCAGCTGCTGATGACCCTATGGTGGCCCCCACATCCCCACCACAATTTCCTGGCCGAGATCTTCACAAGCTGCACAGACCACCGGGGCTTGTGGAGGAGGGGCAGGCGCAGGGGACCCTTGGCATGGCGGGGGCGGAGGCAGGCAGACACAGCAACACACCCGTTCGTTGAGAGGAATCACAACCACTCACTCGCATTTCTGAGCCGAGACGCCAGGCCTGCAAGCCCACGGCACCATTTACTGTCAGTAAACAAGACCCAACCAGTAAGTTTACCACAGCCGGCGGGCGAGGGGCGGCTTGTTGGCCGCGGAAGCAGCACGTCCCACTGGGGGAAGCACTGGGGCGCAGACGGGCACTAGCCAGCGCAGGGACAGTGGCCGCACGCCTTCCAGGGCCACGGTGGGCTCCTGGGGGAGACTGAGGCAGGGGTTTGGGGATGGACGGCTGGTGGGAAGGGGACATTCTGCCCCCATGGCCTCTTGGCTGCATCCAGGGGCACACACAGTGCACCATCACAGTGCACAATTGTGCTCACACACACCAACACGCTCACATGCACGCATCACACATGCTCATCCACACACGCACTGTGCTGAGTGCTCATGCGCATGCCAACAGCGGGCAGAGGGCATGTCTACTACCTGAGGCTTGGCCTGAGCTCAAAACGGGCTGGTCCCGCCCTTCATTGCTCCAGCTACAGAAAAGTGCGTGTGAGAGATGTATGGTGCATGGTGTGAAGGGTGGTGTGCGGCATGAGGGACAATACTGTGTGTAACTTCCTGGCACACCCAAGCAGTGTCTGAGAGGCTCAGCCCCAGGGGACAAGCACAGGTACGCACACACTATCCCCAAAACGAGACCCTGATGGGCAGGCTGACAGGCAGGCGACACGATGCAGAGGCCACTGCACCGAGACTCAGCAGGGAATTGATGGAGACTCACGAGGCTGCCCTCCCTGCGCACCTGCTCAGGGCTGCATTTCAGGGCACCATCGTCTCCGTGTCTGGGAAGATGTGGAAACAAAACACAGCCAGGTGCACCCAGTGCCCCCCTCAGGGCCACTGACGCTCACAGGCAAAGGGCTTGATGGGGTCAGTGTAGAAACAGCGCTGACGTAGTCGCCATGATGGGAGTCGGGCCGGGATGAAGACAGGAACACCCGTTTCCTGTACACACACAGGCCACTCTGCCGACACAGGCTGCATGTGGCCACGGCTCCGGCTCCACAACGCATCCTCAGTGGCCCACGTGCCCCCTGACGTGCAGCCGCCAAGAACAGCACCTCAAAGCCCACCAGCAGCCTGTCCTCCTGCCTCCCCGAGAACTCTCAACACCCGGTCCCTGGGCGACAGCCCACACGGAGCCAATGCTGACCCTGGCGCAGGCCCGTGCGGCTCCTGGGGGCACACCCCCAGAATGGCAGGGTCCAGCCAACACCCCGCACCGACAGGCAGCAGTATGCCAGCATGTGGTCGGCCGCTATCTGGGGGTTGGACCTTGATGGACAGGATCTGTGGCCACGTGGACCCTTTTCCAGATGCTTCCAGCCACCGGTCAGGTCACGACTGAAGTGGGCACATGTTAGTGTCGGGCGATAATTACTAAGGACCACAGCTCCACAGCCTGCTCTCTGGCACCTCACTCGGGTGACACCCTCTCCAAGGGGAGACTGTGAGCTTGTGAGGGGCCCGGGATACAGCCACTGCAGCGGGGGAGCAGCCTTTCTCTCCTGTCCTGCTAGGCTCTGGGACCAGAACCCTAACGTGAAGACCCAGATCCACCCCTCAGCCAAGCTGCGGACCAGCGTCCTAAGGAGACCACCAGCCCTGCCAGCCCGTCCAGCCCAGGCCACAGCCCCGTGTGAAGGCGAAGGCATTTCAGGTTTGGGTGGCTCTTCCCGTGACCCAACGGTGATACAGCAAACCCTCAGTGAAGCAGACGACCAGTGCCCACCCTCCTGGAAGAGCCCCACAGTGTCTGAGGGGCTGGCCACCTCGGGGAGTGGCAGGAGCCGCAGCCCTGCACCTGCTCGTGGCACCCGCCCTCGCTGAAGCTCGCAGACAGCTGCAGAGGTCACGTCAGCTGTCACCATGCACCAACGACGTGGACGGCAGGGAGGGGGCTGTGGGGGCCACGCAGGGCCCGGAGCACTCCTGGGGCCCCTCTGTCTTGACCGCAGCCCCCAGCTTCCTCCTCGCCTGCCTCTCCCTCACGAAGACCGCATACAGCACGTGCAGCTGGCCCAGCTCCTGGGGGGTGAAGCACGGCTGCCCTTCCGCAAAGTCAAGGATGACGTCAAAGGAGGCAGCGGCCTTGTCCCAGGTGCCCTCTCCGCCCCCGTCCCCTGGGCCGGCACCCCCGGCCTCTCCCGCCTCCCAGTCGGCCGGGACCGGCTCCGCGGGGCCCACGCCTCGTCCGTCGCGCTTCCCGGGCCCCGGCCCGTCTCCCCCCGTGCTTCTGTGGAGCCTGCTGCCTGTGGGCGGCGGGCCGTCCTCCATGAGCTCGATGATGTGGGCGACCGTCTTGCCCTGGGGCGGGGTCTGCGAGCACGCCGTGGCCTCATCCTCCGAGGAGGAGCCGGTGGTGAACACGGCAGCTGGCCACAGCTTCCTCCACGCGCGCCGCAGAACGGAGCTCGGGACGGCCCCCCACGCGCAGGCCACGTGGAAGACGGCATCGTGGATGCCGTAGCGACTGTGGAAGTCCTGCAGGGGGACGGGCGGGCTGACAAAGCCCCTCATGAAGGCCTGCCGGACGCCCTGGTCCATGGGCTGGATCAGAGAGGCCACGCCGGCAGGCAGGAAGACGGTGAAGATGTTGTCAGACACCAACGCAGCCTCGGGCGGGTGGGCCCGCGAGTGGTCCAGCAGCAAGATGGCTTTGCCATCCTCGGGCAAGCCCACCGCCCGGAAGTGCTCCTTCACGGAGGGCACGAAGACACGGTGGAACCAGTCGGAGAGCATCTCCTGGTCCACCCAGGCGCGGCCCTGCGCCTGGTAGGCCACGGGCAGGTGCTGGATGCCCTTCAGCGCCCGCGGGCTGCCGCACCTGCCGACCACCAGGGGCTTGACCCTGTGGGAGCCTGCGGCGTTGGCACACATGAGGACTGTGAGGCGGTCCTTGCTCTGCTTGAAGCCGGGCCCGGGCTCCGCCTCCGGGGCCGGACGGGGCAGGCAGCGCCAGAAGAGGCCCGTCTCGTCCGCGTTGTACAGCTGCTCAGGGGACAGCCCGTGCTCGGCCACCAGGCTTCGGAAGAACCCGCAGAACTGCTCGGCCGCCTGGCGGTCGGCCGCCTGCTTCTCGCTGGCCGTGTCCAGCCTCTTGATGCCGTGCCTGGCCTTGAAGCGCCAGAGCCAGCCGCCGGAGAAGACACAGGGCTCGGTGAGCTGCATCTGCCCGTACAGGTCCCTGGCCTTCTCGATGAGCATGGGGCCCGAGACGGGCACGCCCTCGGCGCGCTTCACCAGGAACCACTGGTACAGCACGCGGTCCAGGTGCTCCAGCTTGGGCGTGTGCAGTGTGCGCCGCCGCTGCAGCGCCTGGTTGCAGTCGGCGCTGGCGACGAAGCGCAGCAGCTGCGCCTTGTGGGCCCTGATGTCGTACAGCGTGGACATGCCCACGTTGTACTCCCGCATCAGCGCCTTCCGGTTCTCGCCCCTCTCCAGGCGGGCGCAGATGTCGATCTTCTCCTTCAGGGTCAGCACCACCCTCTTCCGCTTCTCCCCCCGGCCCTTCCCGGCCGGCGGCTGGGCGGCCATCTGGGGGCTGGCTGGTACCGGCGCCGGGCCACTGGAGGCCACCACCAGTGCCGGCCCTCCCGCCTGTCCTCCCGTGCCCTCTGCCTGCCCGGCCACCGCTGCCTCCGGGCCCCCGCCCCTCAGCTTCCCTGGCTTCTGTGCTCTGGCACGTGCGGCCTCAGCGTCCAGCGAGGGGCTGCTGGAGGCCTTGTCTGCAGGCGGGGTGCCAGGCGGTGCACGGCAGCCGGGCTTCTCTGCAGACGGTGGCGGCAGCTCTCCCGACCTGGCCTGCAGCCTCTCCCCTCAGAAGACCGGGCGAGGCTGGTCCCCAGCAAACGGCCTTCCAGTTAGTCAAGGACGTGCTGTCTGCTGAGCTGCGTCTCCCCAGGCCGGCGGTGTCGTGTCGCGGGCACAGCCCTCACGACCTGTGAAGCAGAGGGGAACGGAAGACAAACATCACCGAGAGCAGACCTGGGCCACCCGGAGCTTCACGGAAACGAAGTGTGGCCGAGACGCCAATGCTGGCGGGACACGAACACCACGCCCGCGCTGGGCAGGACTCGCGCGGACTCCAGGCAGCCCCCCGGCCCCCTCCCTCTCGAGCCCTGGTTTTGGCTGCTGCTTCCAGCTCCATGCAGCGGGAGAGGCCAGAGCATGTCCCACAAGTGAGGCAGAAAAATGCAGCCCTTTGGGACGGCCTCTCAGGAGAAAAGGGAAATCCACTGAGATGCAGCAGGAGGCCCAGGGGAGGTCCGAGCCTGCTTCACACACCATCCCCTCCCGCTGCTGCCCGCATCCGTACAGTGAGGGCTGCTCCTTGGAGGATTTCACGTTCTGCTCTCCGAGGGTGGCTCTCTGACAAGGGCACAGCTTGCCCTGCGGGGCAGACGGGAAGGCTGCGATCCACCGTCAAGCCGATGTTCACTACGAGAGCACCACAGAGACGGGGGGATGGGGAGTCCTGGGGCATCCCAGCCACTCAAACAGGACCGACTCGAGGCAAAACGTGAAAGGGGACCAGGGGCCTTCCTGGAGGGCACAGTGCCCATTTCTGCTGCTCAACAGGCACTTGTGCACTGAGACGGCAGCTGGAAGCGATACTTCCTTTAAAAATGAAATCCGGGATTGTACCCACATTGAGACGTGAGCTGCAAAATCCTCTGAAAACTGAAAGCGGAAAAGGTCACAGCATGACCCGGAAGAAGGGAAGGTGGTCTCCAGCTTTACGACCTGCAAGGAAACAGGATACCCAGGTCCCAGGTCCCCTGAGCACGGTTATGGTTACCTGGTTACCGCCGTGGCCTAGGACTGGCGGACAATGGACAATGTGTGTGTGGGGAGATAACAGGACAGCGGGGGGCCTGAGATCCAAGCAGGAGGCATTGTCACCCACATCTCAACTCCTTCCTGGGGAAGGGGAGGGTGTTTGCTTAGCAAAGTAGGCAAGCGTGTGAGGGTGGTGTGTGTGTCTGGGAATGTCAACGACAAGAGTTCTTTGGAACACTGACTGGGCAGAGGAGTTTCAGAGTGCGTCCTGGGAGAAGGAGGGCGGGTCCTGATGAGTTGAGTGTCAGGAGAGATGGAGTGGGCCAGCCACACTGGGAGGTGGCCTTCTGCAGGGAGGGGCCCGCGAGCTGAGCAGGGTTGGGGTGAAGGGCATGGTAGTTACCCCAGAGACACTTCCCCTCCCAGAGACCCTGCCCCTCCCGGAGGCCAGGCCTTTGGGCAGAGGCGACCCTGAGGCACCAAGAGGTCTTGGGGTGCCCACGCTTCTATCTGAAGGCATCTGTGTTTGGGGGCCAAAGCCCAGCTTGGGGCAGGAGCAACGGGAAACAGAGTTTCAGGCCAGTTCCGGGGGGCTGGGGAGGCAGCCGCCGACTGGTCCCTTCTAAAACCCTAAGCCCAGGAAGGACCGGACTCGGGGCGTCGAGGACTGAGGTCGGGGTTGACACGTGTTCGGGGTTTGGGGGAGCCCTAGGAAAGGGCTTGGGGACTAGAAGTTCAGACACAGGTCCCGGGTTGGGTAGGGGCGGGAAGCAGACGGTTTTCGGAGGCCTCCCGAGCTCCGGTGGCGCAGCGGTTTAAGTATTCAATTGCTAACCACAAGGGTCAGCGGTTCGAATCCACCACCGGGGAAAAAGATGAGGCCTTCTGCTTCCGTGAAGAACACAGCCCTGGAGGCCCCGTGGGGCGCTTCCACTCTGTCTTCCAGGAGCGCCAGGAGTCGGAATCGACCCACTGGTCCCAGGTGTTCCTTCCGAGCCCGGGCCGGGCGCGCTCCCCTCTCCGCGAGGGGGCGCTGATGCCCGGGAGCGCGGCCGGCGGGCGGGGAGCCATCTGTCTCCG